TTGAATTTCTGGTATAATCACATTTTGTTGCTGGAAATTTGTTATATTATCTTGGACTCTAGGATTCATGTGGCAGAGATGATTATTATGTAAATAAAAAACCATACTTTTACAATCAATTTGATTCACCTAAATGCATCTATAGTGAATTGTGCCACTGGACCTCTATCTAAGTGGTGGTGTACTATTATTCATCCGTATTGAAGACTCATGTAATTTGTTTTTGTTACATTTAAATTATTAAAATGAATAAAAAGATATTGTAATCTATTTTACCTGCAGTGTTAATTTTGGCGTCAAATTTCAATTTAGTTTTAGTCATAGTCTTTTGACTAAAATGCCATTTTAGTTTTAGTCATATTTTAGTCACCTGAATTGTTTTTGTTTTATTTTAGACGATGAAATTAACACTGTTTACCTGCAGATTTTTTTGGTTAACCACTTGCCAACCGTGTTATAACCGAATGATGGCTACAGCGCGGTTGTCCAGTCCTGGGAGGGCGTCCTATGACAGTCTCCCAGAACACGTCCTGGGCGATCTCTGTGTCCTAAGGACACAGCTGATCACGTGATGTGGTAAAAGGCCAATCACAGCGGCCTTTTACCACGTGATCAGCTATGCCCAATGACACAGCAGATCACCGGTAAATGCAGTTGCTTGTTATCGGCTGCACTTTCATCGCGCTGTCACAGCGTGAGGAAAGCACTGCCGATAACTGGCAATTGTCAGAGGATGGATCAGCACTGATCATCAGGGCCCTGATGATCAGTGCCCAGCAGTGCTGCTCACCTGTGCCCAGCAGTGCTGGCAGTTAGTGCCCATCATTGTTGCATATCCGTGCCACCTAATCAGTGCTGCCTATCAGTGCCTATCATCGCAACCTCATTAGCGCACATCAGTGAAGGAGAAAAATTACCTGTTTGCAAAATTTTATAATAGAAACAAAGAAAAACATTTTTTTTTCAAATTTCTTTGCTCTTTTTTTTGTTTATAGCACAAAAAAAATCCCCACCCAGCGGTGATTAAATACCACCAAAAGAAAGCTCTATTTGTGTGAAATAAATACTAATTTCATATGGGTACAGTGTTGCATGACTGCACAATTGTCATTCAAATTGCGACAGTGCTGAAAATTGGCCTGGGCAGGAAGGAGGCAGAAGTGCCCGGTAGGCAAGTGGTTAAACTGGAATGTGTACCTTCCTACTTTCTCAGATGGGAAAGAAAAATTAGACATAGCCTTGCAACATCTCTTTGCATCATTTTTACATAAAAAAAGAAAAATTAGTATTTTACGCACAGAAAACCTGTTTTCTGTAATTTGGACATCTGCAGCACACAGTTTTTGTTTTTTGTTTTTTTAAATCCTACTTCTGTGTATTGGAGACAAATCCCATTATGTTACCACAGTTAGAAATAAAGCTTTTCATTGTTTTCTGTGACAATCTTTATTTGTGCTAAAAGGTTCATCATTTAATTGATTTGCTATTTAATGTGAAGTTGCTAAATACTAAGCACCTGCCACCTACAGTCTTTATCTAATACACACATTTTTGGATACAAAGTGGCATTCAGTCATTGACAGATTTCGAATATAACCATTTTGTTAACTTAGATCCATTTTTTTATGTGATTCATATCTTAAGGTGAATCTATGGCAAGCCCTTGCATATCAAAATATTTACATATTCAGAATCATCAGTATGTGACCCTTAAAACAAGCCCTCACCGGCTGTGATAGCTATAGGCATTGTAGAGCAATATATTCTTAAACGCTGAAGCACCGAATTTGTTGACATTATCTCTATCAGCAGCTCAGCTCACCCTGCTCTTTTTCTCTTCCAGAGCACTTGCTCTGTGTTCACATTAGAGATTAAAAGACTGGAGGGCTGCTAAGTCACTTCTGGGAGAGGGAGGTAATTGACAAAGCTGCTGAGAGAACTAATTGAACAACATCAGTGCTTTTGCTGTAAACTAATTGATTCATAGTGCCTGCAGCTACAGTGGTCAATGAGAGCTTGTTAAGAATATATGAGTGATGGGAGGAGGGAATAGGGTTGGTTGAGTTGCCCAGAAAATGAATAGGGCGATTTCAGTGCTTCTGCTCTGAACTCTTTTGATTAGTCCATAACGCCTGCAGCTACAAAGATTAGTGAGAAAAGGTTTTAGGCTCATGGACTGCTTATTAAAAAATATGTGAAAGCCTGTGTTATTAATGTTAATAGTCTTGCCACAGGTTCACTTTAAAAACTCAGTTTCACAGCTTGCACTTTCATTTCAGCCGTTTTAACACATCTAATAACATTCAAGTTGTCAAGTACAGTCCCACTGGTTTTCAATAAATGGAAAGAATTAATTCTGTCTCTGGATGACAAGACTGTTTCTGAGAGATAATGACTTCCCTTTTCTTGGGCCCTCTATCCATCAACAGTTCAATGATACTGTGTTATATTATTCATCTAATCTACTCGACTCTTGTCTGACTACATAAAATTGTATGCTATCACATAGATGTATTAGGTGTCCTGTTGAGGAAGCTGATGGTTTGCTCATGAGATAGGTCTGTCCGTAGTTTTAAAGGAGGAATATTGAATTGATGAGTAGGACATTCAATATAGTTCTCCCCCTGGAACCCCATAATTTGTCTGTTTGACCTTCTGAACAAGAACTGGCCCACATACTAGAATATTTCTTTTATCAGTGGAGGAGAATGTAACCTAACAGAAGAGATATCCGCATAGTGGACACAATCTGCTGACTGTTATGTCTTTTGTGCTGATTTTTGTTTTATTTTGACTGCCTCTAGGCTTTAAATATTTTTTCTTCTACAATATATGAAATGGGCAGTGATTTCATGTGTACATATAAACTAGTACACAGAATATTTGATGTATTTAATAGATCCAGTATTATGTATATTGTGATACGGAGTCCATATCCTGTATTTATGTTCTGTACTTACTGAGCTGTGTAATATACTTAAAGCGGAGTTCCACTCACTCTGTCAAAAAATAAGTCCGTAGCTACAAAAACTGTAGCTGCTGACTTTAAAAAAAACAGCCACTTACCCATCCCTCAGTCCCGCGGTGTGTCCTCCGCAGCCCGTTTCAACGGCCGTCCTGTATTCCAGGAGGCAGGCATCTTCTGTGTGGGCACCCGGTTGTGATAGCTTGCGGCTTCACAGCCGGGTACCCACTGCGCATGCGTGAGTAGCGCTGCGCTTCCTGAATGGTCCTGTAGTCTTCTGGGACCTGTCATGTGTCCCAAAAGACTACAGGGAGAGGAGGACACCTTCTATTTCCGATCACCTAGGCGATCGGACCGGAAGTGGGAGCAGGTTCCTGTCAAATTCGGGTACCCGCTCCCCCCCGCCACCCAAAGGTGCCAATCCTTAATGGGGAGCAGGGGAGCAGTCCTTAAAGTGGAACTTCCCCTTTTGGGTGGAGCTCCGCTTTAAAGTTCTGTGTTTCTGTTGCATGTTATTGTTTGGTTTTTTGGTTGTTTTTTTTTTTTTTTTTTTATCGGCAAGGCCACTTTAAAAAAAGAAAAAGAAAAAAGTTGGCTGTAGAAGGCCCAATGAAAGTGATGCCTATTAGATTATCAGACCTTTTCTGAGGTTGATAATAAGCACCTTGAGCAATTGAGTCTGCTTTTTAGTACACAGGGAGATTTTCCAACTTATTTATTTATTTCAGGTACTTGTATAGCACCGTCAATTTACGCAGCGCTTTACATATATATTGTACATTCACATCAGTCCCTAACCCTCAAGGGGTGTACAATCTAAGGTCCCTAGCTTAAAAAAGTAAACCATGGCAGCTAATAAAAACCTTAATGCATACATAAACAATCAGGAACTTGTCTGAGTGGAATATATTTAAATTGACGTGAATGAGGAAGAAAATCTTTCACACAAATCTAATTTCTTTCCAGTTATGCCAAGCAGAAATTCTATCAATCAAAGCTCCTTTAACGGCTTCCCGACCGCCCTATAGCAGAAATACTGCTGCAGGGCGGCACGGGTGCGCAAAATCACGACACAGCCATCCAAAGCAGTGAAGCACACTGACACAGCCCCCTAGTAAAACACTCCCAACACACAGTTAACCCTTTGATCGCCCCTCATGTTAACCCCTTCCTGCTCAGTGCCATTAGTACAGTCAGCGCTTTATTTCTTAGCACTGATCACTGTATTGGTGTCACTGGGGATGTTTGTGACACCAAGTCAGTTCCCCCCCAGTGTCAGAATGTCCACCGCAGCCCTGCTATAAGTCGCTGATCGCCGCCACTGCTAGTTAAAAAAAAAAAAAAAAAAATTCCATTATCTATACCACCATTTGTAAACGCTATAAATCTCACTTAAACCAATTAATTTACATGTATAGGGATCTTTTTTAGCAAAAACATGTAGTAGAATACATTTTGGCCTAAATTTATGATGGAATTTGATTATTTATTTATTTTTTTTACTTTTCCTGGACATGTTTAATAGCATAAAGTCCAAAATATATTTTTTCTCAAAATTGTCGGTCATTTATTTATTTTTTTAATATCGCAAAAAACGCACAGGCGATCAAATACTACCAAAAGAAAGCTCAATCTGTGGGGAAAAAAGGGACGGACATTTAATTTGGGTGCAGCGTTGCATGACCGCGCAATCGTCAGTTAAAGTAACGCAGCGCCGTAACGCAAATAATGGCCTGGTCATGAAGGGGACAAGTGGTTAATGCTACAACTTTCTAGACCACAACAAACTGAAAGGTTATATTTGGTGAAAAGTGTCTATTTTTTTAATACAAATGTTAGTACTTATGGTAATGGTTTATATGAAAATGTGTTTCTTTCAGGCACAGGGTTTCTTTATGAACTATAAAGTGTTAGGTGATAAGTTCAGTGCAACGGTGATGTAATGCAGACACAGGATTCCCTGTAGGAGAGATTTATACAGCCAGGCTACCCCTGATCTTGTATCATTGTTGTCTTTCTTTTTTGCTGATTATAGCAACTCCACTCCAGCGTGAGGACGGGGAACCTGGAAACCTGCTTACGCCTGCTGTCTCTCGGGGCACAAGCCAATTTCTTCCACCCGGTAATCACTGCTCTCATATATTACTTTGTAATCTCTCTGCTTTTTTTTGATGTTCCGAGTCCGATTTACTTGTCTGACCTCTAGTTTGCAGTTAGAGATTGTGAGTATTGCTCATTCTCCGTGACCTGCTGAGTTTAACATTAGACTATGTTTTACAATCCACAGTATAGTTTAATCACCCATTCATGGCCTGGTATTAAATGTGATGTCTTGTGCAAATGACTCATGTAACACTTGTAATAATTAGGCAGCTTAGGTTATTTTTAAGGAAGCAATAACATGCACACATGTTGAAAGTGTTTATTATCACTTGCAGAGATTTTTCATTTTTGTGTATTGGAAGTGTGACACTCGTTTTAATAATGTGTATCTAAATGTAAAAAATAAAAGTGTAATATATTACAGTTTAGCAGTCCTTAGATGTGATGGCTGTATTTGTTTTTTTTTTCCAGCTCAGAGTATTTTCAGCAACTACAGAAAATACTAGTCAATCTTCACAGAAATGCAGTGTCTGCATCACTTCTGTGAGCGTAAAGCGGTAGTAAAGTCCGCTTTGTGATTTTTACCGACAAGTAAGCCTATAATAAAGCTTACCTGTATGTAAAATGAACATTTCCTAAATGTGCGCCGTTTAAGAGAGATTCACTCTTTTGGCAGCTAGTGACGTCACCGGCCCATGTGCTCTGCAGGAACGGCATACCCGTGCCATTCCTTCAGAGGGCTGTCCTGCAGCTGGAGTAATGTCATTGTGGCTCGGCCATTCAAGTTGCTGGAATCCGTGAGCCCGAAAGGGGAAGATGGAAGCCCTGTTAACGATGACAGCACACCGCTGGAGGGCTTCGTTCTAAGGTAGGTATTTCACAATTTGCTAATATGCGATGCGTTCCAGGACATTATGCTATTGCCTTGCAGGGGATTTTTTTTTTCCACTGCTGCAGTTTACTACCACTTTAAAGTTTTCAGTTTTTATTAACATGCTGCGTTCCCCAGAGTTGCAGTTGCAAGAAAAAGTATGTGAACCCCTTGGGATTACGTGGAGTTTTGCATGAATTGGGCATAAAATGTGCTCTGAACGTCATCTAAGTCACAACACTAGAAGAACACAGTCTGCTGAACATAATACTACACAAACATTAGATGTTGCCATGGTTTAATTGCACATGTAAACATTCACAGCGCAGGGAGGAAAAAGTATGTGAACCTTTGGACTTAATAACTGGTTGACCCTCCTTTTGGCAGCAATAACCTCAACCAAACGTTTCCTGTAGTTGCAGATCAGACCTGCACAACGATCTGGAGTAATTTTGGACCATCCTCTTCACAAAACTGTTTCAGTGTAGCAATATTCTTGGGATGTCTGGTGTGAATCGCTCTCTTAAGGTCATGCCACAGCATTTCAATCGGGTTGAGGTCAGGACTCTGACTGGGCCACTCCAGAAGGCGTATTCTGTGCTGTTGCAGCCATTGTTTTGTTGAATTACTTGTATGCTTTGGGTCATTGTCCTGTTGCATCACCCCATCCTCCTCTGTGGAGCTTCAGTTGGCGGACAGATGGTCGTACGTTTTTTCTGCAAAATGTCTTGATAAACTCTGGAATTCATTTTCCCATCAATGACAACAATCCGTCCAGGCCCTGAGGCAGCAAAGCAGCCCCAAACCATGATGCTCCCTCCGCCATGTTTTACAGTGGAGATGAGGTTTTGATGTTGGTGTGCTGTGCCTTTTTTTCTCCACACATAGTGTTGTGTGTTCTTCCCAAACAACTCAATCTTGGTTTCATCTGTCCACAGTATATTTTGCCAGTAGTGCTGTGGAACATCCAGGTGCTCTTTTGCAAACTTCAAACGTGCTGCAATATTCTTTTTGGACAGCAATGTCTTCCTCCGTGGTGTCCTCCCATGTACTCCATTCTTGTTTAATGTTTTCCTTATTGTAGATGTGTCAACAAAAATGTTAGCATGTGCCAGAGATTTCTGTAGGTCTTTAGCTGACACTCTGGGATTCTTCTTTACCTCATGCAGCATTCTGCGCTGTACTCTTGCAGTCATTTTTACAGGACGACCACGCCTAGGGAGAGTAGCAACAGTGCTAAACATTTGTAGACAGTCTGTCTTACCGTGGATACATGAACATCAAGGCTTTTGGAGATACTTTTGTAACCCTTTCCAGTTTCATGCAAGTCAACAATTCTTGATCATAGGTCTTCTGAGAACTCTTTTCTGTGAGGCATGGTTCACATTAGACAGTGCTTCTTGAAACCAGTAAACCCAAAACAGGTGTGTGTTTTTTTTTTTTAAGGGCAGGACAGCTGTCAGCAACACATCCAATATCATCACACTGGTTGGAGTCAAGTTTGGCTCACTCTTGGCTCCAATTAGCTCTGGGAGAAGTCATTAAGCTAGGGCCTCACATACTTTTTCCTCCCTGCACTGTGAATGTTTACATGTTATGTGCAATTAAACCGTGGCAACATCTAATGTTTGTGTAGTATTATGTTCAGAAGACTGTGTTCTTCTATTGTTGTGACTTAGATGATGTTCAGAGCACATTTTATGCCCAATTCATGCAAAACTCCACGTAATCCCAAGGGGTTCACATACTTTTTCTTGCAACTGTATATGTAGTATATTGTTCCATCTTCTTAAGAGCTGTCAAGACTAGCTGTTGAGTTGGACAGGGCACCCCTCCTGCCTTCATGGCCATCCGACCACACAGCTAGCAAGGAGATGGGTGTCTTAACACTTTTTTCTGTACTTACCCTAGAGAAGCATCTCCTAAGGAATGCAGGGGGCTTGCAAGCTAAAGTGTTTCAGGCACTCAAGCAAGTGCTTGTAGATGAAGAGAAGTAGTTTTTGACAAAGCAGCAGTTTCCTTGATAGCTGTGTTGTCAGACAGCCGTGGAGAAAAGAGGGATGCCCTCTTTGACCTCACAGCTTGCCTAAAGCTAGCCATAGATGGCTAATTTTTTTTTGATCAAAAAAACTCATCCACACAAATGAGGTGGATGGAGGAATCTTCCCCCTCTGGGACATTGTACTCTGTGCTATCAGAAAACACCGATCAATGTAGGTACCGGGGCGGACTGACAACTCATGGGGCCCCTGGGCAATAGGGGATCATGGGGCCCCTGTGTCTTTGCCCAAACTCAAAAAAGCCTATGAAAAAGGTACCAGGGGCATCTCATGGGGCCCCCTACTGACCCCGGGCCCTCGGGCAGAGCCCGAGTTTCCAAATGGTCAGTCCGCCCCTGGTAGGTATTGTAGGTGTTCATCTAGAAAAACGTTTTTACTTCCCTGTTCAAGAGAAGATGATCTAACACTTGATTTCTGTCAAACAGGATCAGCTGCGGACTGGAATTTGGCTGGTCCTTGTTGAACCAATCAAATTTTGATCCATAAATGGTCAGCTTTAGAGAGCACATAGGAAGGCAAAGCAAAGCACTACATGTGCAGAATTAATTCATAGTCCCATCAGTCCACCATATAATAGGGATGAACAAAGGCATACATGTTTAAAGTCCAGTCCTGTAGGACAACCATGACTGCTTTTATAAGTACAATAATTAGTGTAGACCTGAATCCACAGTATGTGTTAGTCGCATGATTAGCAGCTGAAAATAAAGAACGTAACCTAAAAAAAAAAAACGAATGCAGTCACTAATTCTAAAGACTGCTGAGATGCAATATATTTTGTTCTTGGGTTTATATACTATTTAAATTTCTGCCAGTACTCGGGGAGAAAGGTCCCAGGCACTATGGCCATTTTGACATTAACACTTCTATTTGTTTGTAATGTTTCATTTCACTGACAGTGATAAGGATTTCCTTTTCTAAGCTCAAAAAATACTTCGATAAATGTACCTGTTTAACTTTTTTTTTTTTGGCAGCTTTGCAGACTTACAGCCTCATTTGTATAATGTCTACAGAAAATGTATTTTTCCGAGGAAGGTCCTATAATTAGCTTATTATAGGTACAAAACTCAGTCAATGTACTGTTATATTTAGAAATTGTTGTAGATGCAGGAAAATGTTTAATGTAAGAATATGTTCTCAGCATATGGCGACAGCAAAAAGCTGTTGCCAATTATTTCAGCAGTGTATTGAGCCATATGTTTGAAAAAAAGAAAACATGAGAAAGTTTGAGTAAACATGATTTGAATTTGCATGCACTGGTAAGGGCAAGTGAAGGGTGTAATACATTGTGGCAGCAAATTTGAAAATTGCCCTTCTTTAGCGCGAACACACTAGACTACTGAAGACCACTTTCCGACTGGTTATTGCCCATCATTGTAAAGCTGGCTATTGGCACTAGCCGAGCAGATCTACCTGCATGACCAGTCTCTAAGCACAGATTGCTCAGGTTTGTTTTTGTTTGGGCACTGGATGAAGAAAGGGCAGAGTAGTGCACAGACAGTCCTGCTACTGGTTTATAGTAAAAGGGGCGTAAGTTAGCGATTGTACAAGGATTTTTTTTTTTTTTTTTTTAAAACATTAACCATTATTTTAATCCCTTCAAAATGGTCACCTAATACAGTTTTGAGGGTGCCTGAAAGTCATTCATTTGACACACATGGTTTGGGAGACTAATGGGTATGGACAGTCCAAGAAAGTAGTAAGGCCACTCCGGGCATCTCACTTAACCTCAATTGCGATCCCAGATAGAGGTGCTCACCTCTGAGATCCTAGCACATAAGACAGGTTGGCTGCACACTCCACTGAATGCACTAATCCTTTACTAAGATCTCAAAACTTCAAGATAAAAGCATACAGCACAAGAGTACAAACAAATGCAGGTAGGAGGGTTGATGCATTTCATGCACAGCAGTGCTTAGTCATAACCTTGAAGTTTTGTGTACGCCTAACCTGTTTTAATGTGTATGGACATTTTTATATTGTTAATGATTCCTAAACAAATGACAGTTGCTACAACTTGAAATGTCTGGTCTGAAATGTATTGGTTACTTGGTGTGTATACATAGTCACATTGCTGCACACAGAAGGGATATATAATCACCGGACTCGTTGTCTGGGTTCCTTAAGAAAGCACTTAACAGTTCCATCTGTAGTAACACTTTCTGTATTTGCAGGAAAAAGGGACCACCCCTCTGCATGTTGCAGCTAAAGCTGGGCAGATCCTACAGGCTGAGCTTCTGGTAGTATATGGAGCTGATCCCGGGGCCCCAGATGTGAATGGTAGAACACCCATTGACTATAGCAGGTATGAAATGGGTCACCTACAAAAGAAAAAGGATACGGGAACTTTTTTGGTCCAGATTCCTTTAACCACTACCAAACAAACTACTATACTAAGAAAGCATTCCGAAAAATAGTTGAAATGCAAGTTTTTTTGCCTTCCATTATGGTCTGCTTTGAATGGCTGTACTCCTCTGTATTTATGTGGTGTAGCTTACAGTTGAACTCCAAATAAACATTTTTTTTAATGTTTTTTTATGTCATGAATAAGTAATGTAACCTCTGTCAGTTTTTTTTTTTTTTTTTTTTTTATTGCTGTCTGTGTAAAGGGGGGGGGGGAGAGAGTGTCTCCAATAGGAACACAGTCCGCATATAAAACCTGATAGATTTTTCTACCCTTCCCCTCATAGTACTGGATTAAAGTCAAAGCCAAAATGCAGACATGGGATAAGATTTTGTGTATAAAAGCTCCAAAACCTGCAGTTAACCCATTACTAATTTTTTACTCTTCTAGCTTACTTAAAGGTGTTGTTTCTTTGTCTTGATTATTATAGGTAGTGTAGTGTCGGAGCGCGCCTTCCCCCGTAGTGTTGGAGCGCGCCTTCCCCTGTACCGTGTAGTGTCAGAGCTTGCTGACCCTATCCATTTCTTTTGGCCAGTGGGACAGCCTAATGGGTAAAGGCAGTGTGTACATATGGAGGGGATACAGAGTTTCAAACTCCCTGGAAGTGATAAAGCTTTGCTTATCAAAAGGGCCCAGGATTCAGCAGTAGCAGCAGAGTCTTGGCTGCTAAGTTTGAGTCTACAAGTATGAGCAAATGGAATCAAACTTGGTGCATAAATGCTTGTTGAGGTTATATAATATTTTTGTCTAAACAGATTAAATGCATGCATACTAAATGACTTTATGCCTATACATTTGCATATTACAGGCAGGCGGGACATCATGATCTAGCAGACAGACTGGTGGAGTGTCAGTATGAGCTGACGGACAGGCTAGCTTTCTACCTCTGTGGGAGAAAACCAGGTAAGTGCATCACACAGCTGGCTAAGGGTGCTGGTGACAAACTGTTACTATTATTATTAGAAAAATTCATTTTGGGCTAGTTCACACCAGATGCAATCCAGTGCAGTTTTTTTCTGCATCAAAAATGCATGCACAGTGTTTCCTATGTATTCCAATGGTCCTAGATCACACCAGGGCAGTCAGTTTCAGGGGCAGAAAAAAAAAAAAAGTAGAACGTGCTGCCTTTTTTCTGCACAGAACTGTACCGGAACACAGCAAAACACATAAAAACACACTGGAACGGATTGTGGCCTAAACTGTAAGCAAAAACGCATCTGGAACACATCCGGAGTGTGTTTTTGTGGTGTGAACTGACCCTTTGAGTTAATGAAGAGAAAATGTGTTCATAATTAGATAAGTGAAAAATGTAGGTCTGTAGCAGCAAGAGAAGCTATTCTCAGATGACATCTGTGGGTTATAGAATACTGTCCAGTTGATTTTGAAGCTGGAGCTGTCAGTACTCATGCAAACCCCAAGTTAAAGCATAAATAAACTGTTTAATAGGCTATCTACATTCTTGCCCTCTGCAGCAACTTTGTGAATGAACATTTGAAAACAATGGCAGATTTCTGCATAGCCAAAATAGGTCATAGCGTACGGGCTCAGACCACTTGAAGAGGGACCAATCTGTCCATGTGATGCTGTTGACAGTGACAAATCTCCTTTACAATAAAAGGGCTTCCAGCTCACAAGTGCCATCTAGCCACATTTTCATTCATGGTTCTGCAGTGCTTGTACAATTTCATTGATGGCATAGTGTACTGTTTACTCCGCAGGTCCATACACTTAGAACCTAGTTATCATTCTCCCTGTGTATTTTATATGTTCATTGTATCTGTATGGTTCTGACCTTGTCTCTGCAAACCTGCTTCTTGTGTCAGTGTGGTTGTCATTTGGTCTGTTATCGTATTTCCAATTCTCATGGTACTGTAAACATAGACCTAAGTGTCGACCTGATGATTTGAACTGCATATATTATGCTATATTGGTGCTATACTAAGTCTAGCCATAAAATAGCTGTAAAACCTCACCTTGCTGAGCAATCAATCTGCAAAACAACCATCACATAAATGTATAACTATACATATTTGTGCAGCAAGTGGGCACCCTTGAGGGTGGATGGAATTTGATAGAGGGGGCACAGTTAGACTTGGGGGGGCAGAAAGTATCAGTCAAACGCTACTCAACAAAAATGTTTAGAAATTCCATACCCTGGCACTCTAGTACTCTATTTGTGCTTTGAAATTGGACACATTTATTGAGGCTTGCCTTTGAGGACAGTCGCATGCAGATTAAATGGATGTTATGCTCAGTGGTAAATACTAGCACTGGGCATCCACTGATGGTAGTGAGTGTTATGAGAGAAGCATGGACCATTGCTGAACTCTTCTGACAATGCTAGTCTTCTGCCTGACCTCCTTGCTTCAATAATTTTAGACATGGACCTGAGCAAGTATGCAGATTTGGCTTTCTTACTTTTGTGATCTACCTACCTGCCCCAAGCAGGAGAATGGTAATTGAAGCCCTTTCATAAAGAGATCTGCAATGGCTTTCTTCATTTTGTGATGGCTGCAATTCATCGCAATAAATCTGAGAAAAGCATTTTTGGATTACTCATGTCAACTTCTAACAACCAAATCTTTTATTTTTACAATCAGTTAATCTCTCACAGTTATTACCTTTTCTTCCACTAGCACCTCCATTAGATTGTAAGCTCCCAGTAGCAGGGCCCTCCTTGACCTTCTTGTATTGAATTTTATTGTTGCTGTATTGTCTCCCTTTATATTATAAAGTGCTGCACAAACTGTTGGCATCATATAAATCCTGTATAATGATAACCATTCTCTTTTTATCTCTTTATTTTAGACCATAAAAATGGACATTATATAATTCCTCAGATGGCTGACAGGTGATTTAATCTGTACTGCTCTTTTCTTTGATATCCGTTTCTTAAAGGGGTTCTTCACTTTAGATGAAAAGCAGGTTTTTGACACACACCACTTTATGTAGCAACATGAGAGGTGTTTCCAAACAGCAGAAACCTGGAGTCTCAGGTCATGCTTTGGAAACTGTCATATTATAGTTTTCCAGGTATAACATTTTTTGACCCACCTTGGATTTTCATTGGACCAATGACTGACTAAAATTAAGAACCCCTTCAATGATAATATGTGTTTACAGTCATATGATTGCTTTGTCTTTTCCTCCAGTATTCTTTCCTCATGCTGGGCATTCAGATTTATGATGTCAATTATTGTTTGCCTAACATGATAGTTTGGAAAAACTGACACTTTTTTTTTTACGTATTTGACCTCAACATTACTGACACCTTGGAGCAGAGGCAGGTCACTGTGGTAAAACTACAAATTCCATAATGCTCCTCATTCTGGGAATATTGGCTGTGACTGTCATGTTCTTACAATGTCTCATGGGACTTGATATGTCACAACTGGCAGTTGCTTACCCCTGTCTTTAAAGGCACATTCAAAATCCAGTTTTTTTTTTTTTTTTTTTTTTCTTATATCTAAACCTAAAAATGTAATATATTGAAACATAACAGTCCTTAGATGTTTTGGCGGCCTTAGTTTTCATTTTTCAGGCTAAGATCATTTACGTCAATTACAGCAAAAAAGTGTTCTTGCCAGAACTACAGTGTCCTTGTCACTTCATGTATTTTAAAAAGAAGCACAAACATCCTTGTCTATCTTGTGTAAACTACTAGATCCATCAATCCACCATGCAATAGGAATGAACAAAGGCAGATATGTTTGAAGTCCAGTCTATGCAACAACCATGGCTCCCTATATAGATACAGTGGAGAAATGAGTGTAGACTCGAAGGCACAGGAAGTATGTTTGCAGGATCAACAGGCAAAAATAAAGGGAAAATGCCTGAACATAAAACTAATTCAGCCAACTTATCCAAGGACTGGTAAGTTGCAATACAGGTGTTACCTCAGTTTACGAATTGAATGCGTTCTCCGGGACGTTTTGTATTGCAAAAAATTCATAAACTGAATCGCGGTTTCCCATAGGAATGCATTGAAAACCAATTAATCAGTTCCGGAGGACAGAAAAAAGTATAAAAAAAAGTTGCTGTCACTATAGGTCAGTGCCTGTTTATAACTGTAATTACCAGCTTTTTTTTTCTTCACTATAGCTCAGAGAATCAGCTGTCATTTTCCCCCCAGCTAAAAGAAAGAAAGTTTCCTTTTAGTTTATTTGCTGGAGTTAAAAGAGAAAGTTTCCTTTTAGTTTGTTTCTCGAGATAAAAGAAACAAAGTATCCTTCTTTTAGCTCAGTGGAAAGTGATAGCTAATTCTGTGAGCTATAGTGAAGAAATAAAAAAAAGCCGGCAATTGCATTTAAAAATCGGCAACGACATACACTTCGTATTGTGAAAAAAAATTAGTAAACCGAGGCATAATTGTCAATGGATTTTCATTTGTAAGCCGAAAATTTTGTTAACCTAGGTGTTTGTAAACCGAGGTACACCTGTATATTACATTTTGGGTTTGCTCTTTACATTGAGGTGAAATCAGGCTGCTGGTCCGGTTGACTATTGCAGATGCCAGCTGTAATTGTTTATTTTTTTCCTCCATTTTTATTTGCTTCAGTTAAGTTTAGATTTGTACTTGTACAGAAGATGTTGGAGCCATATCTCATCCTATATATTTCTGCCTGAAATATTTTTGGTCCTTGCTGTGCTGGTGTTGATTTCTCTCTACTTTCCTGTGAAGGGTGATGAATCTTCTTGATTTATGCTGTGACCAGGAAGTGACAGTCATATCTGCATCCTGTTTTTGCTCCACACTTGGACTGTCAGTGCACACCATGTGGGGATTTCTAGCTGGGTAAATTTAGCCAAGCTATACAAAGATCTGCATTACTTCAGTGATATGTAACAGATACGCTAAAGAAAACCGTGACAGATATACAGTTTCTTCTTCTAAGAAACAGTACAAGATTCTAAAGCAAAATTCTATGCAGCATGAATATGATTTTTAAGCCCCTCTTTTAAGAGGGCTTCCTATCCACATCCAAGAGATTCACACAACACGTTGTCAATCAAGCTTGCTGTATTACTCAGGGGGACACTTCCAGCTGAGGGAGAAACTGCTGTCCAGCTTGCTATTTAGCAAGAGTGGGGATACGGATTATTACACATGTCCATTAGTAACTGTTAAAAGCTGAACTCCAGGCAGGGAACAAACACTATACAATGAAAAACAATGGCTTACATCTGCCCGGTAAGTTCTTTTTGTTATAATGAGCAACTTTAGCAGCAGTCTTGCACTTCAAATATGTCCCTTGTCCAGTCTGCACAGGGCCTTTTTTTTTTTTTTGCGCAGGATCAGCTGCCGCTGTTCTTCCACTGGGAAGCAGACATCAGTCATGTTTCCTCCTTTTAGTTCCATGGGTTCTGGGCATATTTACATCAAGCCACTTTTATTGGGCTGGGTATGATCGGCAGAGCATTTTGGATCCTCTTCCAGACATCCGGCAACACAAAGAATCTCGACAATGATGTTGCAAACTAGCAGGGCATTTAGTTTGAGTGCTTTGCTGTTGCAAGTAGGATTTGGCATCTTTGGTAACTACTATACAGAAGTAGAGGCAGTACAGGCACACTTTAACCAGTTTATTGTGAGGTCTTCAATGGCCCAGTGCTACTAAGGGGCAGTTATTATTACAGGGCATTTATATAACACTGCAGTTCTTTATATACTTTATAGTCACATCAGTCCATGCCTGTACACACACACATACTAGGGCAAATTGTAAGCTGGCCATACACCTGTAGAATTTTGTTGGAAAATGTAAATAATTTGTTAGTAAATGTAAACTTCACTTATGCCCTTATGGTCTGGCAAATATACAATTGAAAGGTTTTTATTTATTTACTGTATCTGTTGTGCTGTACTTATTACATTTTACCCCACTACCTCTGAGGACTATAAAATATTTTCTCCCCTTTTTATGGACATGAGGAGAGGGGGTGGTGTCCTGTTATCTGGTGACAGTGTTGCTCCTCCATAGATACAGCATGGTGAGTGACCGTTAGTGCAGTTGTGCATGGTAGCCAGCAGCTGTGCATGGTAGTCAATCGGCTTCTAACGTCAGCTTGTTCAGTTAGCTTTGACAATAAAACCTGGAAGCTGATTGGTTTCTATGCAGAGCTGCTCCAGATTTTTCCACTCTCCTTTTTTAGTAAGTAACCCCCACAGTGTGTTACTAGCAGGCTCACCAGATGAAAATAAAGGGAAAGAATCTTGAAATAGAAAACACAATGCAACCACTACCACTAAGGACTGGTAAACATCAATATATTATATTTTGTTTGTTTTTTAGATGCTCTTTATTAAAATTAAAGTGAAGCTAGTGTCACCCATAACAGCAAACATTTTTCTAGCATGCAGTGAAATAGCTAAATGTCAGCTGACGTTTAGAACTAAACAGAACCCCTGTTCCATTGGTGATATTTCTGGGCCTGTGAAATGAGAGTAAATGACCATATTATTTATGTCCCGGAGTAGGACTTGCAGCATGCAGTTAAACTACTTCATTCACCTTGTCCAAGCATACAGTTTTATTGCTGTACCTTTTGTGTGTCTTTTGCAGAAGTGACAGCTCATTGATTTAGCAGGACAGCATCTATTATACTATTGTGACTATTGCTGAGCAAGATCTCCCCCTTGTGGTAGAACCTGGAAATTGCAGTCCATTTAAAAATATTGTATGTTTTTCTTTTACATTGGTCATACTATTGGAACAGAAGGCTAACATATGAGTTGCTGAAAGAGTGGTAGTTTTAGATTAGTTAATACCTTCTTTCTTTTTGGATCTGGGTTTGTTTATTAAATTACATTTGTTTATATCCTAAATAATATGTCAACCTTAGTTTTCTTTTAAGTTAGTTGACTTTCAGCAATTTTGTAGCCCTGCCACTGTTTCCTAATGCTGCTTTTAAAATGAAAACTCCAATAAATATTTGTGTTCTTTTCATAGAACCAGATGTGAAATAGTTAGTAGGGTTCTTTAGTCCGCTAAAACTTATGTCCAGGAAAAATTAAAAAAAAAAAATAAAAATAAATTGTACATATCTGCAAAACATGCACATTTACCCATGTTATATCACTTTAAACTGCTGCAAGTGTAAACAAATTTCTACTGATGTGCCATAAATATAGCGTGCTCATACCTTCCTCTTTGACCTGACAACACAGTGTATTTTTGGCTCTGAAATCTAAATAAATCGAAAGAAATTCCTAATTCACTTCTGATGTATTGCAGAGACCACAGACCTCTCCTCCCCCTCCCTTCCATAACCCCTTAAGCTGGCCATTTATGGAAGTTTGTCTGGTTCAGCAGGGACTGTGCATGGCTGTTCTTGCTTGACAAAAGTCAATCTAATGATCGAATTCTGGTGAATGAGCTTGTTAGAAATGTTTTCTCCATCAGCGGCTGCAGCCAATGATTAGTGTATTCTGACAAGGCAGAGTCCCCGCTATCAAAATACAATGTCTCCATGTGATTCCTCTATCTACCTCGATTGTATGAATGGAGTAATCAGTTTTTCTCTTTTTTTTTTTTTCTTCAATGAAACTCACTGTCCGAACAAAAAAAAAGATCCTTATGCGGCCAGCTTTATTGTGCACAGGTAGAGAGCAAAGAAAGTTATGAGCTCGCAGGATTTCTGGCAAAAAATGTTTTTTTTGCATTTTTAAAACCAATATAGCAAAAAAACAACAAAAAAACCTTTCAGTTGTTTAGCAGATTTTAAGGGCGCAAATAAGAGAAGTTCAAGTTAGGGTTTTATACACTTAATAATCCACAATACACCTGTTCTGCTATCTGCAAAAACTGCATAAGCTCTAGTGTTATGAGGTACAGTGGGTGGATTTGCGTA